GGGGGGGGGGGCATTTTCTGGTTTATTTTCCTTCCTTATCAAAAAATCAACATGTGAGTTGTGTGTGGTATGTTTTATTTGAATGCAGTGGCAGTGTGTGTGTGTGTGCAGTGATGTCAATAGAAGCCAGCAACCAGCAGATTCCACCGTCTACTCTTGCTAATTCAGCCGTCTACTCAGCCAATTCTGGCCCCATTGTTTGTGTGTCACAGCCGCCTATTTCAATTTCATAACCTCCTACCAAAAATTTTATTGACAACCCTGGTGTGTGCACAGGGGGGCACCCAAATGAAAAGTATTTCCATTGCGGCACTTTGGCAATAACTATTTTAAAAAGAAATGAAATTCAAAAATTATACAAAATATTCAAGGATATTAATTTTCTTCTTCAGACTGATGGCCATACTCATTCAGCAGCTTTCTTTTGAGTTCAGCGTCTACTTGCTTGGCTGGTTTGGCAGTTGATAGAGTGGATGCCTGTTTCTCCATTATTTGGGCAAGCTTGTTTCTCTTATCGGCAACTTCTTGTTCTGTTTACAATGAAAATAGTCATTTATAGAGTATTATAGTAATGTAAAAGAATCTACCGTAGATGACTTAATTAGATGATCAGCAAGAGGTTGTTTCAGAGTTTGATCTGTGAGTTAGCCATGCCCTGACTTAGATCAGCCCAGAGGTTGTTTCAGGGTTTGATCTGTGAGTTAGCCATGCCCTGACTTATATGATCAGCCCAGAGGTTGTTTCAGGGTTCGATCTGTGAGTTAGCCGTGCCCTGACTTAGATGATCAGCCCAGAGGTTGTGTCAGGGTTTGATCTGTGAGTTAGCCATGCCCTGACTTAGATGATCAGCCCAGAAGTTGTTTCAGGGTTTGATCTGAGAGTTTGCCATGCCCTGACTTACATCAGCCCAGAATTGAGGTTGTTTCAGGGTTTGATCTGAGAGTTACAGTGTAGCCATTTCCCGACTTTGATGATCAGCCCAGAGGTTGTGTCAGGGTTTGATTTGTGAGTTAGCCATGCCCTGACTTAGATCAGCCCAGAGGTTGTTTCAGGGTTTGATATGTGAGTTAGCCATGCCCTGACTTAGATCAGTTTGTTTCAGTATATCCTACTTTGATTACAATATTAGTTCTTTTAAATAAAGTTACCTTTATCAAGCTGTCTTTTCTTTATAACATCAGCTCTTGATATTTTCCACCGTGACAGGATTTCATCAGAAACTTCTTCAACTGGTGCTTCCTGAAATGTAACAACAGAACGATCAACAATGATCCACAACAAGCAATACAACGATACAAAACAATCTCAAAAGTAAAATAAATGCCTTGCGAAAACACAGTATCGAGTTACCAACCTGCAAATCTTACTCATGGTTGTTACATTTTTAAAATTATTTTCTTTGTCATGTGCTCATTCAGTGATCATAAACCTGGTTCCGCGTTTAAGTAATTGCGAACGAGAGGGGAGGGGGGGAGGGCGGTCAAAAATGAAATGGCCCAAAATTGGTTGACACCAAAAATTTAAAGTACAACAGGAAAAATCAAGGATCTTACAAAGTTAAAAACCCAAAATTAGTGATCTTTATTGTCGAAAAAATCTATTTAAGATGACTCAAACCTCTCACAAATCCCACGTGCACAAAATTAAGCAATTAAGAAAAAACCTTTGACAGACAAAATATGAAAGCTAGTTTTTACCGACATTAATACGTGAACCATTCCTTTGAAATATTTAAGAAATAATCAAAGTTATGATTGTGAGTTCCATATCTTAAATTATTAATAGTTTTAGCAACATTTCTAGAGAAAAGAAGTTGATGTAATTAATCTTAGACGTTCGGTAGCGTTAAGTTTAATTACCGTCATTCCGTCTAGGATCCCAACCAACGCTTCCTGGCGATCGTCATCGTTAGAGTCTTCCTCGTCAAGAACTCCAGTAACATAGCTGCCAAAGACCTCTTCATCGAGTCCTAAATGCTTTAGTTTTAAGCACAACCATTGTTCGAAGTCGCCACCACTTTCGACCTCCATGTTGGATCTGGTGCCAAGAAACTACAGGCAACCCAAGGAATACTTTTGTCACTCTTCAGAAATATGAACAAATCTCATAGCCCCAGGCTGTTTTGCTCAAATCTCAATTCTATTCACATTTTTTGATCGTTTCTTGTTCATTTTTTGAATCCCATTCCCAGTGCATAAAATCTCATTTTCCCAGCCCAAAAAAGGCAAATCCCAGCTCCCATTTTACCCCTTCAGGACCCTCTTTCAAGTTTTTCAAGTTGGAGTTACCGACCATTTACCATAGGGTGCAGATTGTTCACTGTTACCAATTATTAATTAATACTCAAAGGAATGAAATGTGGTTTAAAATGGAAAATCATCATGAAAAAGGCATCATTTCTTTTATTTAATAATTATTTAACAAAAATGATATTCAAGAAAACTTGACATGTAGTCGGCACAATGGAAAAGATTATGTATAATTTGTTTTCACTAATCAATCACTTCCATTCCCTTTAGAATAGGCCTTTCGCAGGACATAGTCACATGACTTTTAATGACTGGCAAAAAAATATTGTGCTATCCTTATCCTATCCCTGATAGTATTGCTGGGTTTCTTTAAGCTGATAAAAGTTTTTGAATCCCATTATCTGCTCAACATGGTGGACAAACACTGACCACCATGTGCTGTCAGCCAGAAAGAATTCTATTGAAACTTGCGATTCAGCTGATGAACATTCCACATGACACGAAATTACGTCACTAGTGCAACTCACCAATTCGATAAGTCATTCTTGTTTTACTAGGATAGCTTTTTAATAGCAAACCCATGACCTATGATCCAAGATCCAGGAAAGAATTTAGGAGTTACGTTTTGTGTAGGGAGGAAAACCAGAATGTCCAAAAGAACTAGAAATCCCTTGAAGCACAGGAGACAACCAACAAGAAACTCTACTATGACACCAAGTCCAGCAATTAAATTTAAAATTAAGATTAAAATTTGATATTAACCTGGGTCCGCTTGGTAAGAGGTCAGTGCTCTCATTGCTACATCATTTGTACTTCTCATAATATTCCTCAACATTTTTTAATGGGAAAATACGCTAAAGGTGGGGAAGGTTTTGGAAGTTTGTAGATGAGATTGGATGACAGATTGAACAGTCTCAAAATTGTGTTAATTCTTGGACAGAAAAACCTTCATGGTACTCAAGTTGCTAGTTTATGTAATTTATCCATCATGTTTATTGAATTTAATTGTCTTTCAATCTGTGTGTAAGAGTTAATTACCTCAAACATCGGCAATAAGCCATATACATCCTTAAAGCCACAGGGTCACAGGCCAGAGGGATGTATAGGCTTATTGCCGTGTTCGAGGGAATTAAGTATTTTATTTCTCAATTGAGAAGGTTTCCTATCAAATGTTGCTCATTATAAATGCAAAGTCTATATATAGTTATTAACCGAGTTAATAACTAACTATATATTGATCTTGCATTTATAATGAGGGTTATAACAAAAATAAAGCCTTGTGAATAACAAAGAAAACCATGTCAATTGAAAAATAAGAGTCATAAGGGACTGCTGGCATGTAGGGATTCAGGCTTTAGCCTCCACACCTTTGGATAAAGAGACCTTTAAGACGACGTTCTTGCTCGGTAGTGCAAACCTCAAACTGCAGTTTGATGTCAGGTGTTTTCCGTCAAGCTTTTTGACATTTAGTAAGGCATCATATGGAAGTTGTTGCTGGAAGAGCCACCATATTGAATGTTGTTGATGCTGAGTGTTTTTCCGCATTTGTTCCGCAGTGGTTAGTAGTAAACTTGATGCTATAGGTCTCTAATATCCACTACATTACTTGTCTAACTCTTGCATATCTCAGTTTTTTTGGTTATTCATTTTATTTTTAGAAGTATTTTATATCATATTGAGTGGATAGATGGAAAAGTGGTTGGGCAGATGGATTATTGTATAAATGGATAGATGAATAGATAAATGGATGGATGGATGGATGAATGGACAGACGGACGGATGGATGGATAAATGGATGGATAAGGCTGCTCGAATAAGGGCCTGATAATCAGGGTAAAACAAGTATAACCGATGATGATTATAATAATAATGTTAATTTTTTATTAAATAAAACTATCTTATTCATTTATTTTAATATTGTGCAACTAATCAACTAAAGACCTCTTGCCTCTAACTCAAAGTTCAAGGTCTTTTTGCATTATATAAAGTGTTTAACTCTCGTATGCCAATGGCATTATGTTTTACGACAGCATGCAAGTGCAAATTGTGCTGTGCTGTCATCATATTTCATGTTTTTATCATGATTTCCAAAAAGAGTCTTCAATATTTCCCAGCTATATGCTAGATATCATATACTCTACCATATCAACAGTTGATGAAGGGTCCACAACAAGAAAGACAAACTTGAACATCGATTGAGCAATTGGTTTCATGAAGCTTGGTAGCTATGGTAAGCTTATCTTCACATATCGAAATGACGTCTATTCATATTTCAAATTGATGTTGTCGTTCTGGGAATTTTCCACTGTTACTTTTGTGTCACATTTCACGACGAACTTCTTAAATTGTGATACCACATCTCATAATTGGCCAATCTCCCATCAACAGGACGATTAGGTGTCATTCAGACTCTATTACTGTTTTGCATCGAAACTTACGTTGCATGAACACTCGCACAGACCCTGGACGTTGCATCAGAAGCCACTCCGATCAGAAAGACCCAGAGAGGAATAAACACATAATAATACGAAGCTGTTACCATTCCCTCTAGCTTAGCACTAAGAACAAAGAGAAAAGTCATCTTCGTCGAGATAAGAAAGAAAAACCACAACTTCCTTTTTAAAGTCGAGTCTGTGTCGTCGAAACCATTTTTTAATTGTTGTACAAAACGAACGGTGATGTAGCACAGTAATACAAAGTCAAACACGAAGAATGGGATGAATACGATGAACCAGAACCAGGTTGTTTGGCGATCAAGGCGAATAACGAGGAAAATCAAGAAGAGAATGAAGACACACCATATCGACAGGACTCTTTGAGCCATCGCCATCTTGTATCCTCTTCCAACACAGGAATCCCAAACCCTGATTTAATGAAATTTTGTTGAATCGTTCAGTATTTACTGCTCGAAAAAACATTTAAAATCGAAAATAAACGAAGAAACACGACTTAAAACTTTAACTATTAACAGTGAATTGAAAAAATTATTAATTTTTCTGAAGGTGAATGACAAATATTCGTTATTGCCCACCACAGGAAACCCAACAATTTATTTAGTGATTTGGATTCGAAAAACACTTAAGGCAGAAAATAAACGAAGCAACACGACTCTTCATGTAAATCTCATTTATTTCTACTTATCAACCTCATTATTTATCTGGATCTGGAGGTGGAGGAAAAAATCCCTGCCCACCACAGGAAACCCAAACTCTGATATGGTTTCTCCTTGTGGGCATTGATGTTCCAAAAAAACCCTTAACTATATTTATTTTTACTTTTTTTTTTTGGGAGGAGAATTACGCACGAAAAAACCTCCCAAAAAAAAAAAAAAAAAAAAAAAAAGCAAAAGCAAAACAAAACAACGTCAACAAAAAACAATAAATAATAATCTGGGTTGCCTGTGGTCGTTCCAGTGCCCAATGCGTGTCATATTTCCCGGAAGTGAAAAATAAAGTAAACTGAAACAATTCCAAGAAAAAAGGCGGGTCGGATGAGAAATTTTTAATCGGGGTACTTTTTAAGAATTATAGGCTTGAAGTTTCTAATTYTTCGTTTAAAGAGAATTTGTATATATCCTATAGGTGGAAGTTTAATTTAAGATCCATTAAATGGCAAATGCAGCAGTTGGTTTCGACGTACTAAAAGCTTCACCAGAGAGGGACAATTTCATGAGGTTACACTGGTGTAATAACGCTTCTGAATTGCAAAGGAGCTAAGATCGTTAGTGGATTCTTGGATTATAAGGTCCCTGATCTGGCAACCAAACTGAGAGATCCAGATGTGAAAAAAACACTAAAGAAACCTATGTACGATTCTGAATGGAACAAACTTTACCCTTCCAGTGGAGTTGTGGATTCAAAGTCATTCGATCTGTCTTTATCAATTAAATTACTAAAGCGAAAAGAAATTTATGATGGTCTTGGGGATCTTACGACTATTAGTTGGAAGGAACGTCCAAGCCAAACAGATACAAGGATCGTAGCAGATATAGCAAGATTGAAATGGTACCGTAACAAATTCGCACATGCTGATACCTTGGAAGTTAGTCATGATGATTTTAATGATCATTGGGATGATATCAAGGGTGCTTTACTAAGGATTCTAGCTTCATACAGTGATTCATCTAGTGTTACCCAGTGCGAGAAAGAGATTGATGAGTTTCGTACTGCTCCTCTGAGTACTAAGGATATTAAACAAGTTGGAGAAAGTTTGAGCTGGTCAGGTGGGTAACCTTCAAATTAACTATCTCCCAAATACTGCTAGATATGATGTACCCATGGGCGGATTTAGGAATTGGAGAAGTAGGAGGGGGACCTTGGAAATTTTGGCATTAGAAGAACCTCTATGACTAACAAAAAGAAAAGAGGGGACAGCAACCCCTTTTGGTCCTACCCCTAAATCTGCTCATGGTATAGCTTAATTGTTATCTAGAAGTTAAAAGTGTTGGAAGTATGATCCTTGAATGTCTGGATATCTGTTATAAGAGCAGTGATCATATGAATGGAAAACAAACAACGTGACATCGTGATTGTGATATTGACATGGCTTGTCATTAAATTTCCAGTAGTTCATTCAATCACAATTGGTAGTTACAGCTACACCCGGGGGGGGGGGGG